GAAGAAGAAGAAGAAGAAGACAAAGAAGAAGAAAGGAATGAAGACAAAGAAGAAGAAAGGAATGAAGACAAAGAAGAAGAACGGAATGAAGAAGAAGAAGAAGAAGAAGAAGAAGAAGAAGAAGCAGAAAGGAAAGAAGACAAAGAAGAAGAAAGGAATGAAGCTTGGGGGTGCCAGATGCTGGCGAAGAGGGGCCGGTAGCCGGCTCTACCTGCACCCCCCATGACGTCTCTCCCGGCTCTACGTCTTATTCCATCCAGACTCTCTGAGTCGAGTGGTGCGGCGATCGGTGCCACTGGGGGAACAGAGTGAGCAAACATCCCTTACCCAGACACGACCCATGGGACTGCCATATTTGCCGATCAGTTGGGGTATTTTCCAGGGGTCAATGTAGGCATATATTCTATATGGTCTTCTCTGCAGCTGATGGTTGGGAGGTGGCAGCAGTAGCGGAGGTAGGAACTGGCAGTAGGACTAGTGACTAGTGACTAGCAGCGGCAGCGGTAGCAGTTGGGTGCCCCTTCTGACATGTGTATGTATGTAAAGTCGGCCGACTTTCCTCCAATTCAGCAAACACTTGATATCGGAGAAGATGCATCCTATGTGGAAAGTCATTGTGCAAAGGCAAACACACTTGTCAGAATCATGATGTAGATACTGGGGCTTCCCACTATTCAGTTTCACGACGCTTCTCTTTCGTTCATCCGCCGAGAACGATGCAGATTCAATCCGTCACATGCTGGAAAGCTTCTGTCCGTTGCACAGATAGGCTTTCGTCGCTTGAGAAGTCACTCGAGCAAGAAGCTGCGTCGCCTTGGCCGCGCCTTCCTTCGGCGCCACCGCTGCGTCACTCGCGGCAGCGTCAGTCACTGAGTGAGTCAAGGCCTCCGACCGGACTCTGGAGCAAGTGGTGTCCCACTACTTGGAGAAGGAGCTACTGGGATTGCACCGACTGGACTGCTGGGGAAGGTGAAGGAGCGGAGCCGAACCGGGGGCTGAACGGAGGTGAAGATGAGAGTGATGAAATGGTGGCACCGGCGCAGTGACTCCCTTCCCCACCACCTCAAGTAGACAATATATACATGATAATATATAAAGAGTTTGAGCCTCAGCAAGAAAATGCAAGAAAACATGCAACACTATCAAGACAATAAAGAGTTTGAGCCTCAGCAAAATATTGCAACATCAACCACGTAATTACTATCACTAGGACGTCACTAGGAGATTTGAGTTGGTCTTTAGATTGGTGGGTGTGAAGATCAACTAAAAAACAAGCCCTCGCAAGAATCCTTTCCGACCTCAACGAAGCAAGTGCAGTTTTTTGGGACCAGATGCACTGTAGGTCAGGTGGAGAGCTGTGCCTATTAACACCACCCCGTTTTTCAACCCAGAAATGGTGCGGTTCTTCATGCTTGCATATGAAGCAGTGACTCCACCTCTTCACTTTGTGCTTGGCCAAAAGGGTCTGGCACATGGGCCCTGCTGAAAGCTGCTCCAGCGAACCCCGACTGGATTGCAGATATTCCCAACAGTCGTCTGGCACCAACACGAGCTCATCACTTTTTCACAGCATGACATGGCCAACGAAGAGACGCCGCTGCCGAGGAAAAAGAACGGGGAGACCTTTGAAAAGACAGTGGCTCGGTCGCAAGCTGGGCAGAGTAGACTCTCCACCTTGCTTGCCTTCTACTTGATCGTGTCCGGCATGGTGGGTTTCCTTGACAAGGGTGCTTCTTCCCGGTCCCCCCTGCTTCTTTGCTGGAGAAACGCATGGCTAATGTGGCAGGTGGTCTAGCCTTGGCCACCCAAAGCAGCACGTTGTAATACTGAGCCCGCTTTTCGTTGATGGAGTTATTCCCAGATTCTTGGCTCAATTCTCACATGGTATTTGCATGTATTGGCCAGTGGCCACTCTTCCCAACCTGGTTGTGTCTGGGTTATGTATGCCAATCTGTTGCGATGCCGACCCGCGAGGCCGCTTTGAGGGCCTTCCCAGAGTTGGTGTAAGTGACCATCTGCAGGAAACCCATGGCTTGTTGAGGGTTACTTTCCATCGTTTCCTGCAGAGGTTCCCTTGAACCAATCCATTGATACATGGTAAAAGTGCGACCGTGCGACATAGGAAAAAATGCACACAGGCCGGAGGTTCATGGATGTTCAACCACCATGATATCTTCATGGTCTCTGCCCACGGTCGACCCGTCTCGCGAGCGAACCGTGTGACCCACCGGGTGTGACCCAGGAGCGGCCGTCGGCGAACATCATCGGGACCTTCACCTTGGGGTTCCACAACTCGCATGACGTGAAAGAGCTGAGAAAAATGCTGGAGGAGAGATGAATCAGGGCATCACATGGAGCTGGGGATCATGGAGCTGGGGCGAGCTTTAGGGAGACCTCTCAGTTCGACCCCTAGAAGGAAAGTAGACCCAAACCCCTGTGTTGGGGTACTTGCAGACCGTCTGAACGCCTCCCACGACCGGCCCTGTATACCGCGTATTACGGTGGGTACTGGGGGAGTTGAAAGTTTGTACTTTCGAACATGGTTGTTCTACGGTGTTGACTGTACACTGCGTCTGTGTATGTCTCAGATAGCAGTGAATGAACTACGAACGACATGCATATATCTACCAGGAGTGTGGGTGTGGTGAAACACTACATTCGACATTTGCATCAAATTTGCATTTTATTTAGGTCGAGTCCTCCCTACACTCCCGGCATGCGAACAAATTTGTAGGCGCGGGGTAT